CCTGGCTAGATGTTAGATCTTATTAGCAAATGCCCTAAAACCAAACCACTGTGCCCAGGGGATGGTGGGGGCCACCCAAAGTTCTGTACTTGATATCATAGCTGCAGCTGCAGAAGGGTTAGCAAAGGCTATAAAGGCAATGACAGGTAATGCAGGTCTTGGCAACTGAAAGAGTATGGCCCAACCAGTATCCAGTTCCTAGTAGAGACTTTTAGAATACATTAATGCATCCTGGAGGCCACACGGCACTGGGTTTGAGAAATGGGAGTCCTAGAGTCTACTAACAGCCTGACCTACCAGCCAGGGGCTCTTACAGCCCTCCCTGTGGATGTCTGCCAGTCACGTGCACACTGGCCCACCCCAGGCTTCGCTCATACAGTGGTTTGAACAACGTTTAATAGAACTCTCATCTCTGCCCCTGTCTCCAGAGGCATCGGGACAGGCTGACCCAGTACAGTGTGGACCTATCGTGCCCCACCCCCAAGCAGGGTCAGGAGGGAACCAAGCTGTGGCACAGATGTCTTTCCTGCCCCTCTGGGAGGATTTCTGAGTCACAGTCTCAACAGAGACAACTGTTGGTTCCGGCGACACAGACTGGGGGGGAGGGGGCTTCAACAGTCCTAAGTCCAGGGCTGGAGTTGGGGGTGGGTATGCCCAGATCTTGGTGGCACTGACACCTGAGACAGAATCCTAGGGGCGAGATCTTCCACAGGTATTCTGGGCATAGCTTCTCTGACTCTACAGTCTCCTGGGCAGCTCCAGCAGAAGTCTGACCCCAGAGAAAGTCAGAGGAAGGAGGAGGCCCGGGAACTCCAGGCAGACGAACATTACCACCGTCTCCTGAGACTGGTGGGAGCACCATGGGCAGCCCCAGTCTCAGAGGGGCGCTCCATCTCTGGTCTACGCCCGATCTTTCCAACTGGCAGCTTCAAGAGCAACAGGAATTCAGGAATCGGAGGTTGGACTGGGTTCCTTGGGGCCCAGAGGTCCCGGGGGCTGCTGGGCAGTAGTTGTCAATGAAGAGAAAAATCTAACAGAAGCAGGCAGGCACCGGCCAGTTAGGGATCAACGAAGGACACAGCAATATAGCGGGTGCCCTTGGTGGTGGGAAGCCCTTCGTGGTAGTGTGTGAGCCGTCCAGGGTGCATGAGGGCCCAGCCCTTCCTTGGGGCTCTCACGGAGCAGTTGTAGCGCAGAAATCGGCAGCCTCCGCCCTGGGAGAGAGGAAGCATCGGTGAGTTCTTTCCACATTCACACCCCTTTCTCCATAGCTCCCTGTCCTCTGCTCTATCACAGCCAAGGAGCCTACTGGCACTGAGGTCTGGGGATGCCTTGTGGAGTGACAGGCATCAGCTGCCTGAGAACGGCACTAGGAGAAACAGAGGTTGACCTTGGAGTCAGGCAGCCCCGGGCAAAGGTCACCACCATCCTTCACCCTTTACCAAGTTTATGATTCCCCCAAGCCTCAGGTTCTGCATCTAGAGACAAAAATACATAAGAGTATATACAGAGTTTAGTTTAGCCGGGTGTGGCAGGGCCTGTAATCCCAACACACAAAAGGTGGAGGGAGGCAGAAGAATCAGGAGTTCAGTGCAAGTTTGAGGCCAACCAGAGATACATGAGACCTTGTCTGAAAAGCAAACACATACATACATACATACATACATTCATACATATAGCTTAGACTAGGCTGTATAGACAGACCAGGCTGTATAGACCAGGCTCCTGCCACTGCCTCCCAAGTGCCGATACACCACACATAACTTCCCACTGTTAAGTTCTTGAAAAATCACAGTTCAACAGAGCAAAACAGTGCAGAGGCTCCTCCAGCTTATATTCTTGCTGAGGCCATTCCAGGTATAACTAGAATGTGATCTCCTTGATGGAGAATCTCATGGAAAATTACCCAACTCTCAAACTGCTTACATTGTGAAGCTCCCTACAGCTGCCACGTGAGGTGGCAGGATGTGGCTTCTGCCTTTAAAAAACCCCAAGTTCTCATGCTGGGCAGGGTGTAGCACATGGAAGGCAGAGGCAGGTGGATCTCTGGGTTCGAGGCCAGTCTGGTCTACAGAGCTAGTTCCAGGACAGCCAGGGCTACACAGGGAAACCCTGTCGCAAAACAAAACAAAACAAAACAAAACACAACCATGTTCTGGACACTTAGGGGTACCACCCAGGTCCCTGAACACTTGTGTAATCCCAACCATCTGGAATAAAGACTCCCAGTTAACTATAAACTATGTCTGACTGGCCATCTCTGGTGAGCTCCCTGTAACAATAGCTGTTTTGGTTTTGGTTTTGAAGATGGAGTTCTCATGTAGTCCAGGCTGGCCTCAAACTTGCTAGGTAGCTGAGAACAGCCTTGAATTCCGATCTTCTTGCCTCTCATTCCTAAGTTCAAGTGTGCACCACCATGCCTGGTTTTATGCCGTTTGGGAATGAACCCAGAGGTTTGTACATAACAGGCAATCCATCACGCTACCCACAGAGCCACACATCTCCAGTCCCAACACAGTTGTTTTTATGGGTGTCCTTCACAGTGCCTAGTCCAGGGCCAAGTAAGTCCAAAAGAACTACAAAAAAATAGTTGTAGCTGGGCTTGATGGCACTCGCCTTTAATCCCAGCACTGAGGACGCAGAGTCAGGCAGATCTCTGTGAGTTTGAGTCCAGCCAAAGCTACAGTGTAAGGCTCTCTCTCTCAAGCCAAACTTTTTTTTAATTGCATAAGGAATGGATGGAGGCCCAAGCTAGCTCACTAACTGGCCCTATGCAGAGGCCTAGCTGAGGCCCTCAGAATGGCTTTTCTTGACCTCAGTGCCTTCTTGGTTTCCATAGCTCTTTCTTGCAGTCACATGTTTGTGCCCTATGCCAAGGCTAACAGTCCCCACAATCCCCCCCCCAAAAAAAAAGCCTTCTTCCTTCTCATAAGGAGAACCCCAGACTCCTTCACCAGTAGCTGTCACTCATTGAGTATGTACTGGGGTTTCTTATAAGCCATGACCTGGGTCCCCTCGCTTGTTCTCACAACTCATGAAAACAGAAGAAAACAGAGAAGCCAAGAAACCTGTTAGAGGGCACAGGGCTACTGAGGAAGAAGGCAGGGTGCAGAACCACTGCCCAGACCTCCTGGAGTTTGTGCTCCGCCTCCTGTGAAGACCCTTCGCTGTCGAACTGTGCCTTGATCACACTCTTCCAGGAAGCTCTCCCCACACACCGGGCACCATTTTCCTCCAAGCCCCTGGGCCCTTTGCTCACCAGAGCCTGGCTCCTCCCTCCGCCAGCCTCAGGGCCCGAGACCCTGGCTCACCAGAGCCTGGCTCCTCCCTCCACCAGCCTCGGGGCCCCGAGGCCCTGGCTCACCTCATAATCTTCCCCGACCCTGTTGAGGGCGATGTTGACGGTGAAGGTGGAGGCATCGTGGTGAGGCATTAACGAAGGCTGCTCGTCAGGCTTATAGCGGACAACGAAGGCGAGATCAAACTGGGCCTGTGACAGGGCAGGGGACAGGAAAGCCGCCGACATCCGTCAAGAGAGGCTGGGAGGGCCAAGGCGAGGCAGAGCGTACAGTGAGCTCCCATCGATCTACTCTGCTGTGCTGTTCACTCTCAGAGCGTGGGGCTACTTAATACCAGTGCCTGGGACAGCAGCTGGCACATAAGAGTTACAGGAAGAATGGAGGAAGGGAGGGAGGGACGGACAGACGGACGGACGGATGGATGGACGGGGAGATGGGAAGAGAGGAAGGAAAGGAGTCAGGTTGAGACAGGAATGACTCCAACTCCGTTTGCCCTTTCCGGCCACTATATAGACTAATGCTTCCCTGGGAATGAGCCCAGCTGCACTAGAGAAGGTGTGCTCTTCCAGAGGACCCAGGTTAGATTCCCAGCACCCACGTGGTGACTCACAACCATCAGTAACTCCAGTCCAGTCCCAGGGAACCTGACAACCTCTTCTGTCCTCCTCATGGAAATGTACACTGTGGTAAACAGCCACGCATGCAGGTGAAACACTCACACACACGAAGTTAAAAAGTCAGGCATGCCTGTGAGGCAAGGGAACCGCTTCAAACTCAAGGCCAGCCTGGGTCTACATAGAAAGTTCTAGCCAAACCTAGGCTACACAGAAAGACCCTGCCTTGAAAGGCCAGGAAAAGGGGGATGAGGAGGTATAGCTCCCTGGGTAGAGCGCTTGCTGGGCATGCATGAGAACAGACTCGTCAATGATGCCACCAGAGAGACAGTAGGGAATGGAAAGGGCTTGCGGCCAGCTGAACCGTTTCTCTGGTGGACTAGTGGGAGAAGGAAGACGAGGTTTAAATACACAGAGCACAGGGCTGGAGAGGCGGCTTCAGAGGCCAAGAGCACTTCATGCTCTTGCCGAGGACCTAGATTTGGTTCCCAGTGCCCACATGGTGGCTCACAGCTCTCTGTAACTCCAGTTCCAGAGGATCCAGCACCTCTCTTGATCCCTCAAGCACCCATACTCAAGTATACGCGGCTATATATACTTAAAAATACATTTTAAAAAGAAAACAAATTTACAAACAGATAAAGGTACAGAACGCTGAACCAGGAGGTGCACATCTGGAATCCAAGTTACTTGTGAAGCTGAGGCAGGAGGGTCCAGAGTCCTAGGCCTGCCTGGGCTACAAAGTGAGTTCTAGGTCAGCTTGAGCGAGTCAGTGGGACCTTGTCTCAAAACAAAAAGGAAAAAAGAGAACCAGGATTTAGGCCTGGTGGTTCACACCTGTAGTCTCGGCTCTTGGGAAGCCAAGCAAGGAGGAACATCTCAAGTTTCAAGGCCAGCCTGCTCTACAGAGAGAGACCCTGTCTCAAAAGACTGATTTCTGAAGCTGGGCAGTGGTGTCTGGGCACACGCCTTTAATCCCAGCACTCGGGAGGCAGAGGCAGGTGAATCTCTTTGAGTTAGAGGCCAGCCTGGGCTACAGTGTGAGTTCCAGGCTACACAGAGAAACCCTGTCTTGGAAAAAAAAAAAAAAAAGCAACAAAAATAAAGAGCTGGGGATCTAACTCGATTCCCAGTCCCAATAAATAAATAACACAGGAATGACCCACAAGAGGCACAGTCAGAGCCTAGGGCAGCATACTGGACCCCTAAGTGCCTCTTAACGCCCCACCCAGAGGCTCACCACACACACACACACACACACACACACACACACACACATTCCCCTCCGTACCTCACCTGACAGTGTGGAGATATTACTCTACTGTGGGGACCAAACCGTCTACTGTCTCCCTAAAGCTGGAACTGTGCCCACCACCCCCCATCCCGCTGCCTCCAGGCAGACCCACCCTGGTGTAGTAGCCAGGGTAGAGCTTCTCAGTCATGGGGGCGATGTACTCCACCAGGAACTTGTGCCACTCCCGCTCAAAGGTGATCTGGTTCATGTGGATGTCGATCGTGGGGACGTTTTCATAGCCGCCCTGGATACGGTTGTCCTGGAAGCGACCACAGAGAGTGAATCCAAGATGACACCCAGACTCCCATGCCTAGATACCCAGCCTCTGACTCATTCCTTCCCCTTGGCCCTGGGACATTGTATGACAAAGAGGAAAGGGGTTGCAGATGTCACTGAAGCCCCAACTTGGGGCTAATCAACAGAGAGGTTATCCTGGGTAGTCAGATCCTTTTAAAGGAGAATCTTGGGCAGACAGGTCATGGTGCCTGCTGGCCTTGGAGAACCTAGCTGTCCCAAGTTCTCCAGCTTTAGGGAACTGACTTGCTCCAACAATATCATGAACTGATAATGAGACCCCAATCCATAGATAAAGAACAACTCCAGCAGACCCGAATTTTGCAGCTTTGTGAGGCCCCAGCAGAGGACCTGGATAAACTAGGAGACAATGAACGGGTACTTTGGGGTTTGTCTTGGTGCTGAGAACCGAACCCAGAATCTTGCAACACTAAGCAGGTGTTCCGCCACTGAGTTACAGTGTTTGAAGCCTCCTAGAAATGGCATAGAAACGGGGAGGGGGGTGGAGGGGAATGGGGACGGGGACACACCACTATTCACTGAGGCTCAGGGGTCCATGGACTGTCCCTGTCTGCCCAGACACCGAAATACCTAGGTTAGGCAGGTAACCAGGAGCACAGTAGGGTCAGAGATCAGCCAATTGGGGGCACACAAATCTAGGAACTTGTGCATCTTTAAAGGCAATGCCGAAAGTTCCCAAGTTGTGTGTAGGCAAGGGACTCCTCCTTCTGAGAACAAATGTTGGCCATGCCACTTGCATCAGATGTCTAATGAACTTGGACCTGGTACCCAATGCCCTTTGTCTCCCATTGGCCCATGTCTCCCCATTTCACATGTTTGCCTGGGGCAGGGAGCTGAAGTATTCAAACACCAAGCCGGAAGTGAAAACTCTGAGCCTCGCTGTAAGGCAGCTCAAGGCCACACAACTAGCAATGTCTGTTTGAAGACCAACACTCCCAGTTTCTAAACCTCGTGTTCTTGCCTGCTTGCACCCCGAAAGTAAAGAGTCCTGGGCAGACTGGCTAGGTGACCAGAGGAGCCTAGAAGGGCATCCGGGGTGAAGGCAGTCTCCCTGCCGCCTCCCAGGCGTCTATGGCACTACCTTGTTATCACCCAGAGACCACTGGCCATAGTGCTCCATCTCCTCCACCAGCTCATCACAGGCCGTCTCCGTGAAGATGGGGAACCAGTAGACATCCGGACAAGGCTGGGAAGAGGGAAGACGGAGCTCCTGGTAAGTCTCCCCCAGCCCCTCACCAAGCCTCAGGGGAACTCACTGAGTGTCCCCGAGGAGGGAGGGCTCAGTGGATACTGGTTAGACTGAGTGAGGGGCTGAAGAGGGACAGAGCTTGGATGGACTTTGCAGCCATGGTTACAGCCACAGCTACCATCAGCCACGGGACTGCAGATGTGAGTGACAGAACAAAGCCTCCACCCCTCGTTCTTGGCTCGGAGGCAGCATGTGGGGATGGTCCCTCCTCCTCTTCCTTGAATTCCCAATCCTTCTGCCTCCATCTCCTGAATTCTGATATTACAGGCCTACACCACCATGCCCAGCAGTTCCGTCCTTGTCAAAAGCAGTTCTTGTCAAAAGTGTCTACAGAACTCAGCTGGAAAGTGCTGCTGAGGGAGAGGTCAATCCACCCCAAGCACTGCCAGAGCAGACAGACTGAATAGTTCCTCTCCCATCTGCCCTCACATTCAAGCTCCACCCCCATGTATCCCAGGGCAGCAACTGTGGGATATGAACCCCTTACCGTCTCCACCAGCTTTCCCTCCAGAGCCTTGGTGTAATTCTCATGGATGTACTTCTCTTTCCAGTCCTGTAGAGAATGCAACATGGAATGGGATTCCCAGGCCTGGCCTGAGTCAGCGGTGGTCACCTTAAGCTTAATAGCCTGGGATGCTCCCAGGGAGCCTCCAGCCTTCAGGTCCCTCAAAACATGAGTAGGTACGAACTCAAGAGAGGCTGGCAGGCCGGGCGGTGGTGGCGCACGCCTTTAATCCCAGCACTCAGGAGGCAGAGCCAGGTGGATCTCTGTGAGTTCAAGGCTAGCCTGGTCTACAGAGTGAGATTCAGGACAGGCACCAAAACTACATAGAGAAACCCTGTCTCGAAAAAAACCAAAAACCAAAAACCAAAACAAAACAAAAGAGGCCAGCAGGTTATCATATGTTCCTGCTGGGTGTGAGAGTGTTATCTGGATATACAGGATCTCACATCTGCACCTTCATGTACATTTGTGGGTCTGTATGTGATTGTGTATAGGCATGTACAAATGCCCATGTCAGCTACACACCCCATCATTTAGGCGTACTGTCATACACTGTCACAACTGCTGCTTGCTTCCTCTGATCACTGAGACATCCTCAGAGGTAAGCCAAGCCAGGGAAGAACAATTTTAGAATCCAAGTAAGTGTGGCCCAAAGGTTAAAAAGGCTCAAATAAGTCACCGCTCCCTGCACCACTAGAGGGCGATATGTCTAAGGCTCCCTCTATACGAGAATAGCACTGCCGGAGGTGAAGATGTGAACAGGTCACGCAGGCGTCTCTGGCCACAAGACCACTGAACTGGAGTCTCTGTGACTCCCAGTCCAGGTCTACCCACCCAGGTCTCACCTCAGGGTTGCTGAACACCTCCCAGAGATCATTATGGAGGTGGGTGGTCTGGTAGTTATCCAGGGACAGCAGATGGCCAAAGGTGTGTCGATTGGTCAGGAACATGAACACTTCCTGCGGACAGTAGATGGTTAGACAAGCCTCCTCACCCTGCAGACCCCAGGGAGGGGCAGTGCAGTGTTCCACCACCAGATTCAAGTTTACAAGATTAAAGACCTATGAGAACAGTGTGTGTCCCAGCACCCAGCACAGCTCCACCCCTGGGGATGCAATCAGGGAAGGCTTCCTGGAGGACTGAATATAAAAGAAAAGGACTCTCTCCCCCTTTCTTGTTTGCAGCACTGGGGATCGAACCCAGAGCCTCAAGCCTGTAGAACAAGAGTACCCCCAAGGGCTACGATCCTGACATGTTGGTCACGGGAAAAGCGGAACCATACTGTTGCATTAAAACAAATTCATCAGGGCAGGTGAGAAGTCTCAGTGGATAAAGCCTGACACCCCGAGTGCAATCTGTGGGACCCATTAAAGGTGGAGAGAGAAAATCGACTCCATGAAGCTCCTTATCTCTACACACACACACACACACACACACACACACACACACACACAGAGGAAAAAAAATCACATTACTGAGTGAGACACTCAGTTTGATCCCAACACTAGAAAAAAAAATCACAAACAAATATATAGTGGAACCAGGTGTCACGACCATATTATTATTATAATAAGGTATAATTATTCAGGGAGCAGAAGCAGGAGGATCATGAGTTCAAAGCCAGTATGATCCTGTTTCAAAACAATATACAAAGCCAGGCAGTGGTGGCCCACACCTTTAATCCTAGCACTAGGGAGACAGAGGCAGGCAGATCTCTGAGTTTTCGGCCAGCCTGGTGTACAGATCGAGTTCCAGGACACCCCTGTCTTGAGAGAAAACAAAACAAAACAAAACAAAACAAAAAAACATTACACACACCAAAAAGATGAAGATGATGTGAAGGTCTCTTGGACATACTTCTCAGGATACACTGAGGCTATATCAAATTTATAAAAAAGCTGGATGTGGTGGTACACATCTCTATTCCCAGAATTTGGGAGACTGAGGTAGGAGGATCAGGAGTTCGTGTCTATTGTAGGCTAAAGGTTCTATCTTGATACATCAACAAAACACACAAAAAATAAACAGACAGTGCAACACCTGGTCCCTGCAGACCTGAGGACCGGCCTCACACCCAGTGCCCAGAAGTCCATGTTGGCCCCTCAGAGCTCCTGGGCCTACGGTGACAAGATAGCCCAGTGTGCTGGTCAAGGCTGGAGGACCACACTCCTGGCACAAGGACCTCCCAAAAGCCACACTGACCTGCTGCCGGACATTGGCACAGAAACTCATGTCGGCATCCAGCTTGCTGTAGTGGAACAGGTCTACGTGCCGCAGCTCAGCCCGCAGGGCACTGCCCTTAATCAGGTAGATGTTTGAGATGTAAGGCACATTCCAGACGCCGCTACAGGAGAGAGAGGAAATAAGAGGGTCACAGTCTAGCAGGAGGACTCACAGCCTGGAGCCAGAAAGAAAAGGCTGTATCAAAAATATGAACAGGCTGGGTGTGGTGGCACACGTCTATAACCCCAGAACTTGGGAGAGGAAGGCAGGAGAATCAGGAGTCCAAGTCTATTGAACTTGAGGTCATAGCCGGTGTTTGAGGGGGGGCATTCATCTTAGGGTGCTAATCTGCATTTTTTTATGTTTTTATTTTATTCTGTATACATGCAGGTGAGAGAGACAGACAGACAGACAGACAGACAGAGAGTGTAAGCCATAGGACATGTGTGGAGATCAGAGAACAACTTTCTCGGAGCTGGTTCTCTCCTTCTATCCTGTGTGTCAAACTCAGGGATCAAACTCCAGTTGTCAAGCTTGGCAACAGGTGCCCTTACTCACCCAGCCATCTTGCCAGATCTAGGCTGTCTTTACAAATCCGTCTTTTATCTTGTTTTAGTGCTGGGCCCAGACCCAGGGCCTTGCAAACATATTCTACTGCTCAGTGAAATCCTGAACTCCACAGTGCTAACCTCCTCTTCCCACCCTGGGCCTGGGAGCCCAAGACAACTTTTAGGATTTCTTCTGCATGTCTGACTCTAGTCCTCTTTGCTTGAGGGCAACCGGAACAGGAAGGTGATGGGTACTCACACACGCCGCCCCTGCACAATGTCCACGTAGTCCTCAGAGCGGGCATAGTACCCATCTGCACTCAGTGCTCCCCAGAAGTTGGACCAGAGCCTCCCATGGCGGGTCATGAGTGGGGCGATGACATTCCTGAGTAGGGGGCAGGGGCGGACAATACTGAGGATGGGAAGGGGAGGGGCCGAGCAACCTGTGATTTGCACACTGGGATCTCTACCCTTGTCACTGGGGCAGGACAGGCCCGGCTCATCAGAAACCTCACCCCTCCTATGCTAGGGACAGACTCAGGAAGGTGCCGGTCTGTCAGCCCTTGGAGTTTTCAGGCTGGGAGGCCCAAGAAGAGGGGGAGAAAGTCAGGGGCTCCTATTTGGCCAGGCTTTGCACGGGGACCACCCACACACTCTTACTTGTTCTGCTCAATCAGGAGCCGCAGGCTGTCTGGCTCCGTCAGAGCCACATCAGCATCCACGCTGAAGTAGTAGGTGCATGTCAGGTCCTGGCGGCACAGGTCTCTGTGAGAGGAAAAGGGATGAAGGGCAGAGGAAGGAGGAGGTCATCACAGTATCTCAGGCTGGTCCCAGAACTTCCCCAGAGACACCATATCTGTCATTACTGTTCGGCAAAGGGCCTTAGAACTCCTGTGAACTCAGGTGCAGACTGGGACCTCAAAGGTCCTCCTCCAGCCCTAATACCCAGACCCCAGGCTTCTTAGCTCTCAGGTCAAGGACTTGGCAATGGCAAAGGTTTGATCTGGGGGAAGCACATCCCACCGGATGGGGCTCCGTGCTGCATGTCTTGAGAGCAACTGGGCAGCTAGCAACGGAAGCTGGGGGTATCCATCGGGGCAGAGCACTTGCCTGGCATGTATGAAGTCCTGGGTGTATTTCTAGTACCCCACATTAAAAAAAATAGTAAGAATAAGCTGGGTGATGGTGGCGCACGCCTTCAATCCCAGCACTCGGGAGACAGAGGCAGGTTAACTGAGTTCGAGGCCAGCCTGCTCTACAGAGTGAGTTGCAGGACAGCCAGGACTGTTACACAGAGAAACCCTGTCTTGAACTTTTCTCCTAAATAATATAATTAATAATAATAATTTTTTGAAGTATGCTGCTGGGTACGATGGTGCACACCTGTAATCACGGCATTAGGGACAGAAGAATATCTTAACTTTAAGGCCAGCTTTGGATACACGGGGAATTTGAGGCCAGACTGGGCTACGTGAAACCCTGCCTCAAAATGCCAAAAACCTCCTAAAAATGTCCCTTTTGTTCAACTAGTCCAGGGTTCAGAAAAATGACAGTCCCTGCCCCGAAGCTCCCCACTGCCGGCTTTGTTCTGCTCAGAAGCTAAGAATGGTTCTCTGTTCTTAAATGACTAGGAAAGTGTGTGTGTGGGGGGGGGGATCAAAAGAAAATTATGCTTTCCTTCGAGGAAGTCAAATTTCAGTATCCCGAAATAAAATCTTTCTGGAACACAATCCCGCTCATTCATTATACATCAGTGGCCATCTTTATGGGACAATGGCAGACAGCTCGGCAAGGGTGACAGAGCCCGCCTCGCTGACTGGCAGAGCTGGTAACTATCCAGCCCTTTAAGGGACGTTTGCCAGCCCCAGATTAAGACAGAGGATTTTTTTTTTTCTCTGTGTAGCCCTGGTTGTCCTGGAACTTGCTCTGTAGAGCAGGCTGGCCTCAAATTCAGAGATCGACTTGCCTCTGCCTTGCCAGTGCTGGGATTAAAGGCCTGTACCACCACCACCTGGCGAGACAGAGGAATTTTAATTTTTTTTTGAAACAGCATGTAGCCCAAGCTGGCCTTAAGTTAGCTATGTACCTGAGGATGACCTTGAACTCCTGACCCTCCTGCCTAATTTCAGGTGTTTACTACCAGGGCCAGTTTATGTGGTACTGAAGATCAAACACAGATTTCACCATGCATGCTAAGCAATCACTCTACCAACATCCCCAGCCCTGTATCAGTGGCTTCTTGTGTCTTTGATTTTGTTCTGGCTTATTATTATTATTATTATTATTATTATTATTATTATTATTATTATTATTATGTGAGCACACCACAGCATGAAGGGTGTCAGAGGACCACTCTGTGAGTCGGATCTACCCTCCCAGAGTCAGGTGGTTGGCCTCGGGAGATAAGCCCCTTTAGGGAGACATCGTATTTTTAGTCTGTTTGTTTTTAGAGGCAGGGTTTCTCTCTGTGAAGCCCCGCAACTGTTCTGTAGACCAGGCTGGCCTTGAACTCAAGAGCTCCACCCGCCTCTGCTTCCCGAATGCTGGAGTCATCGTACTTTTAATCAGAGGTTGTCTCTGTCGGCCTTGGTCTACTTCTAGCCCTCCAGCCTCCCCGCCTTCCCTAATTTGCTTCCTAAATCCACATGACACTATCTGGGCGTCCCCAAGTTGTCCTGACAGAGACTACTTCCTCAGTTCACAGGGGAGCTCTGGAACCCAGACAGGGACAGGACTATGCTGGAGACCACAGAGCCTTCTGAATTTCCAGCCTGCTGCTCCCAATGCCACGGCCCATCCGCCCGCCACCATCCGCCCACCACCATGCATGAAGAGAACGCCCAAGCCTGACTCACGCGCCCATGTTCCTGGCGTCCGCGTTGGCCATGCGTACCTCAGGACCCACTAGCTTCACGGACTGGTACTCACTGCCGTGCTCTGCCAGGAACTGCTCTACCTCGAGCTTATGGTGTTGTTCCTGGAGGTGGACGGCAAGGTGCAGATGAGGGTGCAGGTTCCCGGAAACAGCAGTGCTGTCACTTGCCAGGGGATGCTCTGTCTCTGGCACACTCCCGCCACCTGCTTCTCTGCAGGGACTCTAGCCAGCCGGAGCATGGCAAACATGGCTCTGGCAGGCCTTGCCCCTCTCCCCCATTCCCACTAGATTACATTCCTAACGCTGGCCTCTTATTTGGCCATTTCCTCCTCCTGAAGCTGACTACCAACATCTAGCTATCAAAGTACTGAAGTCCAGCAATCAAAAGCCCCCTTGGCTCACCTAATTAACATGCTCAATTAAAATGAAACACCTCATCCTAACACGGGGTTTCCCCTTGTACCTTTATAAACTGTCATTTGCCTATGAGCCACGTCTGTCTCCTCTCTATCCAGAGGCAGTCCTTTGTCCCCTCCGAGACAAACATCCCATCCCTTGGTCTCTTCCCCTTCTCCCTCATCCTCTATCTCCTGTCTTTGTCCCTTATCCCTGCCCTCTGTCCTTCCGGGGACAGAAATCTCCTTCGTGCTGAGAACTTGCTCTCGGGGTGTCCTGAGCCGGTTCTGTTCCCCTCAATCTGTCAGTTGTCCTTCTCTGGTGACCCTTTCACACCCATCTTCCCCGGCCAGTCCCCATAGGCCTCTTCCCAGCTCTGTGGTCAGGACAGCTCCTCCTCCCAAGGACCCCACATCCAGAAGCTCTGATGATCGTTGGGGGTATGGTGTCAACCAATGTACCAGGGGATCTAGATGCATACATGGACAGTCTGCACCTGCCTCCCCCCAACCCCCAGGACATGGAGTGAACAGGCTTTTTATTTCCAAACCTAAGCAGGGATGTCCAACCTACTGACATTGTGGTACCACATCAGCATCATCTACAAATGCTATCCTGGGATGCACGTGGCCTAAGGATCACAGGTTAGGTCCACAAGCTAGACCAACATCTGCTCTGCTACAAAGAGCTCATGACCCTGGACAGGGCCCTTCACCTGTCTCTACTTTAGGGAAAGATGTCCCCTCCCTCAGGTCACTGGGAGCAGGCAGTGAGTCAGAGCCAGCACATAGTAGGTCCTCATGTCTGTGACTGTTCTCTTTCTATACAAAGCAGAAGTTCCTGCAGGGGAACTGTGAGCCATGAGAGGGCAGGTCCCATTGTCTTTCCGTCTGTGGTGCCTGCTGTACATCAGAGGTGAGTGTGAGGAAGCCAGGCAGGGAGCCGAGCTGAGTGGGAGACTGTGGGTCCCTGGGACAGGACATCTTGTTGCGGCTGGAAGGTATACAGGGGAGACTCAGACAAGACAGCTGAGCAGGACTCAGAGAAGACAAAGGGCCCCAGAGTCTGGGGAAGATCTGGCCAGTCAAAGACACAGCAAAGCAGAGGAGCCAGCACTTTACCTAGCCAGTGGAGTACTGAGCCACCAGGCCTGCTCCCCTCAGAGCCCAGGGCTCAGGACTTGTACCCATTTTCCCTGAAGGTGCTAAAGCAATGGAAACCAACTTGACTTTGAGCAGATCAAACCCACAAGCATTAAGGAGACAGGAAACAAAAATGGCAGCAGTCAAGGTGTGGAGGTTTGGACGAGAACGGCCCCCACAGGCTCATACGTTTGAATGCTTGGTCCCTAGATGGTGGAACTGTTTGGGAAGGATTAGGAGGTGTGGCTTCGTTGGCAGAGGTGTCGCTGGGGGTGGGCTTTGAGGTTTCAAAAGACTCCTGCCATCCTTAGTGCTCCTCTCTCTCTGCCGGCTGCTCTTTTGTGATTCATTCTAGATGTGAGTTCTCAGCTGTTCCTGGCACCACGCCTCTGTTCCACCATCACGCACTCTAACCTTCTGGAACCAATTTACTATTATTTTTATAAGTTGCCTTGATCATGGTGTTTTGTCACAGCAACAGATAGGTAACTAAGGCGCAAGGGTACCCACTGTGTGCTGCCTGTAAATGGGGCAGCGCTTTTGTTCCTTGCTGTTATAGATAAAACCTAAGGATTTGGGATTGAAAACACTGATTGTTTGGCCACTAAGAGTGCTTGCTGAGCTGGGCAGGCATGGTGATTCACACCTTAAAGTCTGGCACTGGGGAGGCAGAGGCAGGCGAATCTCTGAGTTTGAGGCCAGCCTGGTCTACATAGTAAGTTCCATGACAGCCATGCCTACACAGAGAACCCCCACCTCAAAAAAAATAAATAAATAAACAAACAAACAGTGGGTGCTTGCTGCTCTTCCAGAGGACCTGAGCCTGGTTCCCAGCACCCATGTCAGACACCTCACAACAACCTGCAACTCCAGCTTCAGGGAATCCAACACCCTCATCTGGCCTCCACGGGTACCTGCATTCGCGTGCCCATGAACATATACATACACATAATTTTAAAAATTAAAATATTTAGAACCCAAGGCCCCCCCACACACACACACACTAGGCAAGTATACTACAGCTAAGCTACATCCATAGTCCTCCATAAAACGTTTTTTTATGGGAGAGGGGCAGGCTCACTATGTAGCCTAGGCTGGCCTTGAACTTACAAACCTCACACCCAGGCCTCCTCGGTAGCTAGACATATCCTCCCCACCCCCTTACTCTTCTGTACTTCACAGGCCAACTTGTTTAACCCCTGCAGCAATTTAGAGTGATTACCTGTGGGAGCCCACAGAGGTTTCCTAGTGAGATCTGAGCTTGCCTTACCCAGCTGGGCTGCATAAGGGGATGGACTGACTATGTGTGTGGTTACCAGGTGTTTGGAAGGGTCTGTGCTTGGCTGTGCTAGGGGAGGTCTTTTACACTAACCCTTGGCATTTCTATAAATAGCTCTTTAGAAGAGACAGAAGGGGCCAGTGGATAAGGATCCAGGACCTCCCGAGGATATCCTGTGTTTCTATCTGTCTCTCCCCTCTATATTTCTATCTAAATCTCTTATCCCTCACTCCTCAAGAGTACCCTGGGGGAAAAGGTGGGGATGGGTCCCCCACAATTACCTCAGTTCCCATCTTGATTTAGTAAGTGAGAAAACAGGAGCAGAGAGCTTAAGGTTGGTATCCCAGGTCACACCGCCAAGAAAAGTCACATCGCTGGGATTCAAGCACAGTCCGCCTGACCTGGTCAGCCTAGTGATTTGGGGACACAGCCCACTACCCACTTCCATTCGGCCCAGATTCAATGGGATCCTCAGAGGTCTTAGGATCTCTAAGGCTGAGCTCTTGAGTCAAGCCCCACACGGCAGCTTCTACTCACATGGTTGTGAATGAAGAGCCGCATCTGTTTCCGGGGGTATCGTAGGCGCAGCAGCCGCAAGAAAAACAGGGATAGGAATGGCGTGGGCTGCTCAATGAACACACCGACCAGGACGGTGGGCAGAGCTTCATCCTGCAGAGGGAAGGACAGAAGGCGTCGTGCAGGGCCTAGTCACTGCCTGCCACCTTACCACAGCCCAAGGAAACCTGAGGTGGAGGCACACGGCCGTGGGCAGCCCGATGCCCAGGTCGCGGAGCATCAAAGCAGGCCATGCAGGTGTGGGGCTGGCAGGACACATGGCGAGGCCTGTCTGAGAAAGGTACAACCAGTTCCCAGGCTCTAACAAGGGCCAGTGGAGAGCATGACACCAGATCCTGGCTGGGGTGGTGTTCAAGCTGGGCCATAAAGGCTGACAAGGGCTCACAGCATAGGAGGAGGCTAGGGGAGAGTCAAGGGCTAGGGAGAAGAAATGGACTGGGACATCAGGAAGGAAGCTGGAGCCTGTGCAGTCCGGAGGAGCTTCCCGGAAGAGGCACTTGGGTGTCCCCACAGACAGAGAGAGAGATAGCCTCTTTACCTCTCACCAATGCACCTCCCCTTCCCCCCATCTCGTGGCACTGTCCTCAACTGCCTCCCTCAGCTCAGGCCTGGCCTCACCCCAATGCCCCTGAGGCTGCGGAGGCCCTCATCACACACGGTGCAGCCCGTCTCGAAGGTCCAGAATCGCGGAATGTAGTTGCCCAGGTAGTTCAGCTGTAGCTGTTGGGAGTCAAATGCAGTTAGGAAGGCCAAGCCAGCCACACCCTCAAACTAGCAAATTCCATCTCCCTCCTGCCTGCCATCCTTCAGGGTCTTGGAGGAAATGCTCCCTCACCCAGAAGAGCAAGCACCCCTGGCTGCTGGAGAGGGAGCTGGGGGCTTATAAAAACCCAGATTCCTAGGGACGGGGCCTCACAGGATTCTAGGCAGCAGAGCTGGGTGGAACCAAGATCTGCATTTTTCTTTTTCTTCTGTTCCCCCCGACGGGGGTGGGGGTGGGGAGCAAGAGTCTCAAGTAGTCCAGGTTAGCCTTGAACTCACCATGTAACCAAGAATGACTTTAAATTCCTGATCCTCCTGCCTCTACCTCCCGAGTTCAGAGATTACAGGTGTGCACTACCATGCCTGGTTTATGTGGTCCCTGGTGATCAAACCCAGGTCCTCAGGCATGCTAGGCAAGCCCTCTGCCGGCTGAGTTACACCTCCAGCACAGATCAGCATTTCCCCTAGGGTATCTTTCTTCTCCTGCCCACAGGATTCTAAGGTTGGGGACTGACAAATTTTCTACGAGCCATAAACCAGTCCTCCAGGACCACTTAGGTTTGCTGTCCCCAGCCACCATCTGCTCTAGCCCCTCCCACAACACCATGAGTACAGACAGCCACTTTATTTATCACAGATTGGTCCCTCGTGCAGGTATCCAATACACGTTCACTCAGTGAATAAATGCCATATCACAACAGCAAGATGGTTTTGGAACCGTCCTCAAAGCCTAGATGGGGACAGTGGCCTCTAATGGGTCCTGTGATCCAGCAGGGATGGACAGGGTACCACTGCCCACCACAGTGGAGAAACAGGACACCAGGCCAAGCTTGTGTCAGAGGACCCCAAACCGTGGCACTAACCCCAGAATGCAGTCACCACAGAAGCAGAACTGGGACTCTGGCTTCCTCCCACACTCCCCCAAGGTTGGGCCCCTCTTTACCTTGGTGGGCCCATTGCCATGGATGACCACTGGAAGGGTGTCATAGGCCAGGTTCCGCGCTCTCACATGGCCCATTTCAAACTTGAGTACGACTTCATCTGGGGGCCAGAAAACACAGACCTATCTAGCAGCAGAGGGGCCAAGGCTGGGGCCTCACGGGCTGTGGCTCCGCGAAAATCATTTCACCCCTCTAAGCCTCAGTTTCCCCATCTTAAATTCCTTCTTTTTGTTTTTAAAGATTTATTCTTATTTGTGTATATGTGTGTGTGTATCATGTGTATGTGTGTGTATCATGTGTATGTGTGTGTGTGTGTGTGTGTATCGTGTGTGTGTGTGTGTGTGTGTGTGTCTGTGTGTCTGTGTGTCTGTGCACATGAGTGCAGTGCCCACGGAGGCCAGAGGCATCAGATCCCCTGGAGCTGGAGTTACAGGTGGTTGTAAGCTGCCTGACATGGGTACTGGGAACCAAACTCCCATCTCCCGGAAGATTTCCTAACCATTTTAAAAATTACATTGAGCCAGGCAGGGTGGCTCACGTCTTTAATCCTAGCAGGCAGACAGATCTCTGAGTTCAAGGCCTGTTTGGCCTACAGAGTCAATTCTGAGACAACAAGGGCTACACAGAGAAACCCTGTCTCAAAATAAAAATAAATAAAATAAAAGTTACACTGATTTATTTAGTGTCTGGGGTGGAGGTCAGAGAACAACTTGCCAAAGTCGGTTCTCTCTTACAACCATGCGGATGCTGGGGCCCAAACTCAGGTCTTCAGGCTTGGCAGCAAGCGCCTTTAACCACTGAGCCGTCCCTTCTTCATGGGGTAAATGTGTGGCTAGCAAGCATCTGGCACAGCAGCATGGAATGAGCACAGAGGCCACAGTGACCCCTGTCCTTCGTGTGGTGACTCACTGGAGCCAGAAGTGGGGTGGGGGAGGGGCAGCAAAGACTAGAACATCCCAGCTTCAGACACAAGGTGCCCACCCAGAGGGGTGTGTATGACACGTGGTCAGTCAGGAAGACCCGTAGCAAAGCAGTCATCACCAGCCGTGGGCCCGAGGAGAAGGGGTCACTTGTACTGGCGTGGTATGCATGGTGGGGTTGGGGCCAGGTGCCTGCCATAGTTATCACTGCCTCCCCCTAAGCGGAACATCTGCGCTTCTCCCACCTTCTGAGAGACACAACTTTGCCCCCACAACATCTGGAGGGTCTCTGGGATCCGGGCAGGAGGCTGACATCAGCCCAGCACAATGACCAAGGAGGATCCACTTGGTTTTCCTTCTTCGGTCCAACCCTGATAGGAATCCTCAACTCCTTCCAACTCATTCCTCATGCTTCCCGCCTTAGCCCCCTTCCTCCTCAGACCCCACCCTCCCTCCCCTCTCAGGCCCCACCCCCCCCCCCCTCTCAGACCTCACCCCCTCTTCTCTCTGGCCCCACCCCCTCCCCGCGCTATGGCTCACCCAAGGCTCCATCCAGGTTCTGGAAGATTCGGCAGCGGTGGTCCAGGCTGATATTGATTTGCTCCTGCAGGAAGGAAGGCCTGGGCTGTAGCAGGGGCAGGCCCCAGCCAGCCGAGACCAGGTCCCCAGCACACCCAGCATGGGGAGCCTGTCCCCACACTGGTTCAGCCTGCCATATACTGGCTCTATTGAGAGAAGCAGGAAACAGCTGGTTTCCTGAACAGCTGGTTCAGCCATACGGATGACAGCCACATGACAGCACACGCTGAGGTGTGATGTTACTATACGTCAGTCTCCAGTCCCGGGGCCTATGTACAGGTATGAATCTGAGCTTCACACTATTCCAATGAGAAATGCTAACAGTCTGGTTTTCCACTCCTTAATACATTAACTTTTGGTTTCTGAGACTAAATCTTAGAATATGCAGGCTGGTTCTGAGCTATGTAGCCCAGGCTGGCCTCAAATCCATGATCCTCCAGTGTCCCACATGCTGGAGTTACAGACACACCATCAGGTGTAGCTTTGTTCGTTAGTTTTCATGTGTTTGAGTGTTCTACCTGCATGTATGCAAGTGTGCCACGTGCAGTGTGTGCCATGTGCATGTACCCACAGAGACCAAAGGAGGGCAACAGAGCCCCTGGAACTAAATTACAGAAATTGTGAGCCACCCTGTGGGTTCTGAGAACACAACCCGGTCCTCTGCAACAGCAGCAAGTGCTTTTACCCCCTAAGCATCTCTCCAGCGATATACGTTAACTTACCTTGTGTGCGTTTATGTTTGTGTGAGTGTGTGTGCCACAGTCACATATGGAGGTCAGAGGACAATTTGTAGAAGTCTGTTCTCTCCTTCTACCGTGCAGGTCCAGGAGACTGCACTGAGTCACCATGCTTGACATCAAGCACCTCTACCCACTGAACCACAACACAGGCCCTTGGCTTTGCTTTAACCCAACCACACTGCACCCATTACTCCAGAACAGTAAGCAATGACCGTCTTATTTTAAAGCCCCTAAGTCTACTGCAGTTTGTCACAACAGCCCGAATGGACGGACACACCAACCCAGTGGCTCAGACCCCACGACTGTCCCCAGTGCAGCCTGGCCAGTGAGATCCGGGGTCAGGATTCTCCAGACCCCTCGCCCCAGCCCACCTACCGCCTCTTACCCTCTTCTCCGGGTCCAAGAAGATCTTGGTGTAAAAGAGCTGGTCACTGTCACTGTCCTGGCCCTCCCACTCGGCCACCAGTTTGCTGAGGTTGGGGGCATAACCAATGAAGCCTGAGGGTGGTAGAAGGGACAGAGACACACTTAGCTTCCTCCAGCCTCTGGGCTAGCTCCCTCCATTCCCCGCCACCTCCCCGACTCCACTCATAAACCTTACCTCTTCACTTCTGACCGAGGGGAGGTGAGGTACAAGCTAGCTAATGGCACTGGATGAGCATTCCCAAGATGATGGAACCACTCACTGAACTGAACCCACTTAGTGCCCTTAGAGAGCAGATCCACAAGGATCCCCGCTTGGATCCCCTTTACAGAGTCATCTGAGCAGCTTGGATCGGAGAAGAGGGGAGGCTGGAAAAATGTCACCCAGCACTCCAGGGTCCGAGCCCCGACAAGCAAGGAGAGCCCAGAGGAGCCCCTGGATAAAGTGAGGGTTGCACAGGCAAGGAGGGAAGAAACAGGGCACGTGACCCCTGGGCTAGTCACACACACACACACCGCACCCCGGAGACACCCCCCTCCCCCTACAGCCGCCAACCATGGCCACTGCGTTAGCTCTCCGGGTCAGTGAGACTCGTGGGTGGGGCCTGTGGGTTCTACTCTCCGAAAGGACCAGAAGGGGCTGAGGGCTGAAGTGCCTGAACAGTTCCAGACAGTGACGGAGGGCCAGGCTCAGCATCAGGAAACGAGGAGGCACAGAGGGTGGTGGGTGTGGGTCTGAAGAGATACAGGGGTTTTTAAACCGTTTTTGAGAAAGCGTCTCTCACAACTCTGGACAGCTCTGCCCCTCATTAGCTAACCAAGGAGGACCTTACGATCCGCCTGCCACCATCTCCCCAATTCTGGGATTGCAGGTGGCACCACATCCCCTACGCAGTGCTGGCCGTGGGACCCAGGGCTGTGTGCATGCTGGACAAGCATTCCACCAACTGATCTACAGCCTCAGCCGCTTTTTGTGTTTAATTTTTTTACACATTTATTTGTGTGTGTTATGTGTGTGAGAGAGTATGCCTGTGTGTGTGTGTGTGTGTGTGTGTGTGTGTGTGTGTGTATGTGTAGTGTGTGAGAGAGTATGTGTGTGTGTGTCAGAGTTGTGTGAGTGCGCATGTGTGTGTGTAGGTCAGAGGACAACTTTCAGGAGTTGTTTCTCTCCTTCCATCATATGGCTTCTAAGGATCAAACACAGATTGTCAGGCCTGATGGAAGCTATGCCCACTGAGTAATTTCATTAGTCCTGTCTTTTTTAAAATCTTTTTTTTTTTTTTTTGGGGGGGGGGAGGTACAAGGTTTCATGTAGCCCTGGCTGAGCTACTGGACTCTAGAGATCTTTAGGAAGCAGAAGTGATGTGGAAGATGAAGGAGGAAGGAGTCAGGGGTGACTCCAGTTTCTCCAGCACAGCTGGATGGCCCTTCAACAAGGTGAGGAAGACATCCCTCAGAGGCTCTCTTTGAGACTGTATGCATTTGGAACCCATGACCCGCAGTGAGGTCAGGTCCTGGACCCCACACCCTGCACATGGCCTCTTACCTCCAGAGCCCAGGAACCTCTTGCCGTCAGAGACTGTTGGATACTTGGCCTCCAGTCTCCGGTCGGGGTAGATGAGCTCCTCAGCTGAGAAGACCACCCGACTCTTGGCCTGCTGGAACTTCTTCAAGAGTTCCCGAGGCCCCGAGGCAAACACCACATCGTAACTGTGGCCAAAGCGAGAAGAAGAAGTTGAAGCAGGTCCAGAGAAGGCACCCACAGAAGGACACAGGGATCAGGAGCCCCTCACATTCTACACCAGCCACCATCCAGGAGATAGATCTGCATGCCCTACCTCCCTCAGTCTGCCACATTTCCATGCCCATGCTGGGCAGGACACAGTCCCCATAATCCATGTCCTTGTCATATTCGAACATGGCTCATCTGTCATTTTCGGCAGCTCATACCTCCCATCTTTTCACCAAGAGGAGCATTGGCCTACATCAGAGAGACGTATCCTGGGGTCTCTTAGATAAGCTTAGCTAGAGGGAGCCTCCCTTACACGTGATGTCCAGGTCTTATTTTGGACCCCCTGACCCCAATACCACCCTGCACTCCAGGGACGCAAGCAGGAATTCCCAGCACATCCACCTGTCAGTGAAGAGAATAACCAGGTCCTCCTTGTCTGCATGCTTTTCCAGAGCCTTCCTCAGCAGCCGAACCTTCTGCCCTCCACCTGCTGATGGTCCGCTGTCCGCGCTCCAGTCCTCCCCCAAGCCCAGTGCCTGCAGAGAGAGGCCCCCAGCTTTGGTAGAGAAATATTCTTCCACCAGTTTGGGTAGTGAACATCTTTGCTTCCTTTCAATCCATTGTAGGGAAACAATTCCAGGTGATGCCAGTGGTGGTCATGTGACCAGGGACAACCAATCACTACCCCCCATTCCTCTGCCCCTCCCATAGCTAGAGCTTTGAGCATGTAACCCAAACATGGCCTATCACAGTCTTCCCTGGGACTCTTGTGTTAAAATTAAGGCAAGGCTGTTATGAATGGCTAAGGCTGGAAAGTTGGGGTGCAAAAGTCTAGGGCTAGAGTCACCTTATCACAATGGAGAGAGCCTGCCTCTGGAGACAGAAAAATAAAGCTCTTTGCTGCCTGGGACCCTGGATCCAGCTACGTCTGAAGTAATACCCTGCTTTATCACGACCCATGATTTCGTGACGATACATTTCCTTCCTGGCTTCATACCTAGCTCTGTGTAGGCCACGATGAGGCCAGTGTGAGTACATCTCTTTTCCCAGTGCCCAACACTGTGCCTGACAGAGAAGGACTCAGAATGGTCCTCCGAGAGGAGGGCTGACTCCCTGCAGAGTTGGGCCCCATGAACTGCCCACAGAGGCCATGACGCCCATGCCTGGCAGACAAGCATGTTTCTTTGTGACAGAGTACACATTCCAGAGGTCTTCGGACCATATCCATTCCAAGATGGCCCAGGGGATTGTGGGAGTGATGGTTCCCCGGTCCTGCCATCCACACTAGCCTTCCAAGAGAGGCCTCTGCATGCTACCATCCAGGTAATCCACATCTCCCTCTCGCCTCCTAGAATCTGTTCACACTCTGACCTTCATCCTAATTCCTGCCCTTCTTGGCACCTGAGTCTGCCCAAGAGCCCTAACTGTGGGAAGCCCAGCCCCTGGATCCCCCCCCCACCATCACACACACACACACACACACACACACACACACACACACACACACACACCGCACCCCAGAGACACCCCCCTCCCCCCACCGCCAACCATGGCCACTGCGTTAGCTCTCCGGGTCAGTGAGACTCGTGGGTGGGGCCTGTGGGTTCTACTCTCCGAAAGGACCAGAAGGGGCTG